GTATAAATAGGAGAATATCTTTTCATTGTAAGAATTTTTGAACTTTGATTATTGCTTAATATTATAGAGAGAGAATTATTCTTTCAATTTAATTGTTCTTCTTGAACAATCTTGGAACTTATCAAGATTCAACTTCTTGTGGCGTTCTATCAATCAGATTGTGGGTTCTTTCAATTGTAATCAAGGGGTTTTAGGTTCTTTGCTAATCTAGGGTTTCTTGGTTCAATTTTTGGGGTTCAAGATCCAAAATCGGGTTAGTATTGACGTTCTTGGGTTCCGCATCAATCTCGTTGTGGGTTTCGTAGTTTCCATTGCTACGGGGTTCGCATCATCTTTGAGAGGCTTTTTGTTATTAGTTCATACATCTTGTTTTTGTTATGCAATCGTACGTGGGTTTTGTGTTCGTGTGTGAACGTTATGATTTTGAATTCGAGCTGTTATAATTGTTAAGAGTTCGATCGTTAGTATAGATCGTATGTCACAACCAGTTAGCTCGAATGTTGATGTCCATAGCCCGAGTGTGTGTAATTTTTCAAGGATATAGTATGTTTTAACAATACTGATCGTTGAAACTATGGATAGATCGATCTTTTTACTTGAAAAATTGGGCTTCGATTTCTAAGTTCGAAGATGTATTGTTATGTTTGGGGTCAACGAGTTCGAGTATTAGTGTCGTGTACTGATTTTTCAATTTGCTATATCGAGGGGCGAGCATTGGGTCACTGATGATTTAAAGGATAAGCTCGGACTTATCCCTTGTAATTTAAACAACTTTTTTCATTTGTGGATAAGATCGGGTGTGCTCTCGTGCGATAAACTTATTTCATGCCCCGACCTCGATCTTAACATTCTTTGTTGTGAGGGCATTTTGGGATCGAAGAGGTGAGGCATGTTGATCCGACCTGTTGCCATTTGAGGTCTTGGCAGCATGTGTTTGGTTCTATTAGTCGAGTGTTGGCCGCATGCATGAGGCACGACTTTAAGTGTTAGCTGCATGCGCGGGGCACGACCTTATGCTAACTTTGTTAAAGTATTAGATGCATGCGCGGGGCACGACCTTACGCTAATTTTGTTAAAGTATTAGCTGTATGCGCGAGGCATGGCCCTATGCTAATTTTGTTAAAGTATTAGCTACATACGCGGGGCACGACCTTACGCTAATTTTGTTAAAGTATTAGCTGTATGCGCGAGGCATGGCCCTATGCTAATTTTGTTAAAGTATTAGCTACATACCGGGGGCACGGCCTTACGCTAACTTTGTTAAAGTATTAGCTGTATGCGCGAGGCATGGCCCTATGCTAATTTTGTTAAAGTATTAGCTACATACGCGGGGCACGACCTTACGCTAATTTTGTTAATAGGGAAGCAATAACGTAAAGAAAAATTCATGTTTTATTAAAAGGGCTCAAGGGCATTAATATCCGAGCTTATTGGAGCATGAACTGTCTGGCGTTAGAGCCTGAAAATTAAAAACGAAATAAAGCAAACGTAATGTGGTCATGCAAGCCTTAAAGGAAAAAACTATAGCTATAGCGAGTTACTTGCAATAAATTTTCAAATTGTCGGCGTTCTATGGCCTTGGTAGCGGCTTCCTCGATGTATCTCTAAGGCTGTAAGCTCCACCTTTTAGTTTTCTTATGACTTCGAAGGGTCCTTTCCATGTTGGTCCGAGCTTCCCTGGTAAGTGTCTGGCAGCTTCTGCTTTTCTAAGGACAAGATTGCCAACTTTGAACCTTCTCATCTGGACCTTGTTGTTGAAATGCTTTGACGTTCTGTTCTGATAATTTGCAGCTCTAAGTGAGCCTTGCTCTCTTACCTCTTCTAGCAAGTCAAGGTGTTTAGTAGTTTGTCTTCCCCTATTCATCTCGAGCTTCCTTATTGTGGGGAGGTTGACCTCGATTGGAATGGTAACCTCTAGTCCAAAGGCAAGCATGAAAGGTGTCTCACCAGTTGTTGTCTTGTACGAAGTCCTGTATGCCCACAGTATAAAAGGTAGTTCATCATGCCAGTCACCTTTGGCATCCCATATTCTTGTTCGAAGATCCTGCGGTATGATTCGATTAGTTGCTTCGGCAAGCCCATTACTTTGTGGGTGTGATGCCGAGGTCAAGCGATGATCAATTCCATGGTTGGCAAAAAAGCTCCTGAACTGTGGATTATCGAATTGCCTTCCGTTATCTGTGATGAGGACTTTTGGTATTCCAAACCTGCATATGATGGACTTCCATATGAATGATCTGAGCTTTGGCTCCGAAATTGTTGCCAGTGGTTCAGCCTCTACCCACTTTGTGAAATACTCTACCGCCACAACTACAAACTTTAATTGTCCTCGGGCCAAGGGGAATGGCCCAAGAATATCAACTCCACATTGTTCGAAGGGAGCTGAGTAATGAATGAAAGTCAGCTCCTCAGCAGGAGCATGTATGATGTTGCCAAACTTTTGGCACTTGTCGCACTTTCGAATGTAATCCGCAACATATTTCTTCAAACTTGGCCAGTAGTACCCATACCTTATCAACTTATATGCAAGAGTTCGGGCTCCTTGATGATTTTCACAAATGCCTTCATGAACTTCAGTCAAGGCTTGCAGAGACTCGGACGGTTTGAGACATCGTAGATAAGGGAGTGTGAAACTTCTGTGGAACAAGACTCCTTCGATTAGATAATATCTAGCGGCTCTATACCGAATGCTTCTAGCAAGCGAGGGTCTGCAGGTCGGTTGCCATTACTTATGTAATCAACTATTAGATCCATCCAAGATGTCTCATGGTCGATGTCCATGACACTTGGCTTTTCAGCTATGCTGGGTTCTACAACTATCTTGACGTGCACGGTTCTATCGAGCCCATCCACACCCATGAAGATGAGTCTGGATAATGCATCAGCTTTGGCGTTATCAACTCTGGCCACCTTCAGGATTTCATAACTTACGAACTGCCTTTGAAAGTCGTGTACTTTCAGACAGTATAAGCTCATCTTCTCGTCTTTTCTTTCGAAAGACCCCTCGATTTGCCCGACCACTAGCTGTGGGTCACTAAAAACTTTGACACGCTCCAACTCAAGACTTTTGCAAGTTCTAGGGCTATGATAATGGCTTCATACTCTGCTTCGTTGTTGGTGACCTCAAATTCAAATCTGAGGGCACATTGTATTTCTGTAGCTTTGTTTGGGTTGGTGATGATGGCGCCGGCCCCTGAGCTCAAGCTATTGGATGCTTCATCTACAAAGATCTCCCATATTTTCAAAGTCATGCTCGAGTCTTTAGCCTATGTTTCCAGGGGCCTCGGAGTGAGTTCTGTTATGAAGTCAGCCAAAGCTTGAGCCTTGATTGCGGGTCGTGGCTTGAACTCTATGTCAAATTCAACAAGTTCAATTGCCCATTTCAACAGTCTTCCTGAGACGTCTGACTTCTATAGTATGTGTCTAAGAGGTTGGTTAGTGAGTACCACAATTGGATGTGACTAAAAGTACGGCCGCAACTTCCTAGCAGCTATTACCAAAGCGAGGGAAAGCTCTTATGCAAGTGTGTACCGTGTTTCTGCATCAAGGAGTACTTTACTTAAATAATAGACAGGCTGCTGAACTCTTTCTTTCTCCTTTACCAAGACTTTGTTTACTGCATTCTGGAAAATGGCCAAGTATAATAGCAGCGTGTTACCGGGTTCGGGTTTGGTAAGGACTGGAGGTGTTGATAGTGTCTGTTTGAGCTCTTGAAAAGCTAAGTTGCATTCCTCATTCCACTCAAAGCTTTTATTTTCCCTAAGTAGTTTAATTAAAGGGAAACACCAATCTGCTGCCCGAGAAACAAACATGTTCAGTACTACTATGCGACATATCAACTTCTGAATGTCCCTTTTGCACTTAGGGGCCTCCATATTTATCGGAGCTTGGATTTTATTTGGGTTTGCCTCTATTCCTCTGTGTGTGATCATAAAACCAAGAACTTTCCAGATGCCACCCCAAACGCACACTTTACAGGGTTGAGCTTCATGTTGTACCTCCGTAATGTGGTAAATACTTCCTCAAGATCAGAGACATGACTATTTGCCTGTTTGCTCTTAACCACCATATCATCCGCATATGCTTCAACCATTTTCCCAATTAATTCGGCGAAGATCTTGTTTACCAACCTTTGATACGTTGCTCTAACATTCTTTAATCCAAAGAGCATGACCCTGTAACAATAGATGGCTAAGTCTACCTTGAATAAGTCTTCTTTTGATCTTCTTCCATCATGAGTATTTGGTGATACCCCGAAAAAGTATCCAAGAAGCTATGCAGCATATGATCTGACGTGCTGTCCACAAGTTGTCGATTCGAGGTAGAGGATAACTATCTTTGGGACATGCTTTCTTCAGATTCGTGAAGTCAATGCAGACTCGCCACTTCCCATTAGCTTTCTTGACAAGAACTACATTAGCAAGCCAATCAGGATATTTTACTTCCTGAATGAACTGTACGTTAACAAGTTTGGCAATCTCCTCCTTTATGACTTCTTGTCTTTCTAGTGCAAATTGTCTTTTCCTTTACTTTACAGGTCTTGTCTCCGAGTTTACATTAAGTCTGTGCACCGCAACCTCTGGGTCAATTACAGGCATGTCCTCAACATTCCAAGCGAATACATCAATGTTACTAGAGAGAAAATTCAATTGTTCAGCCATTACTGCTGTATTCAACTCCCGTCCGATTGTCACTTTCTTGACAGGCTCGAGCTCAACCTCTTCCAATCCTTCCACTGGAGCCAGTCTATCATGACTCTCATGCTCGAGCTCTGTAACCTGCATGACGTCACTCTTGATTTTTCGAACACTAGTCACATAACACTGTCGTGCCACTGTTTGGCTGCCTCAAACTACCCCGATTCCATTACTTGTAGGAAATTTCGTAGCCAAGTGAAAAGTTAAGACAATAGCTCGAATTTTGTTGAGCAGTAGTCTTCCCAGTATGGCGTTGTAGGTCATTGGAGTATGAACAACTTCAAAGGTGGTGATTTGCGTCACCTATTTGCCTTCTGCCCCCAATGTTAAAGACAACCCGACGATACCTTCTAAGGTTTTGACCCCACCTCCAAACCCTTGGAGAGGTGTTTTGACTAGCTTGAACTGTTCCGATGAGATCTCTATTTGAACAAAGGCTTCATGAGACAGTACATTAGCTGCACTTTCGTTGTCTACCGAAATTATCTTAACTTCAAAGTTGGTGATGATGGTCGATATGACCAAAGCATCGTCATGAGGGAATGCTATACCTTCCAAGTCCCCTATTCCAAAAATGATGTCCTCTGTAGAACCAAGATCTGATTTTGAGATTATTGCAGGCTGCGTGGCATTTGTTTACGCCCGCTACTAGAATCTCCTCCCGAGGTTGTTCCTCTGACAATGATATTGATAGTACCTGCAGTTGGTTGCTTGTTTTTCCGACCCTCTGGGCCCTTGTCTTTGTCCTGATTATTCCTTGGGCGCTTGTCATTGCTAACGTAAGAGCCCAAAAATCCCCCTTTTATAAGAGCTTCAATCTCTCGCTTCAAGGCGAAACGATTTTCTGTTGTATGTCCATGATCTCTGTGGAAATCACGGTACTTACCCTTGTCACGAGTATCAGGTGGAGGCCGCAATCTGGGAGGCTACTTCAGTTCCTTTGAATCCTTGATCTCCATTAGAATGTTGAACCTCAAGGTGTTCAAACAGGTAAAGGATGTTAAGGGGGGGGGGGTCCTGCCTTAGCTTGACCCGAGGTACATCTTGTCTCAGACTGGACTCATGTGGCCTTTTCTGATCTGACTTTCTTGATGAGGAAACCTCTCTTTTTGGAGCCATGGTTTCTTCCATGTTGATGTATTTCTCAGCTCGTGTGAGTATCTCGGTTACTGACTTCGGTGGGTCTTAGACAAGGACATCTTGAATACTTCACACTTAATGGCGTATGTCAAAGCTGAGACTGCTGCAGTGATATGTAGATCGGGGATCTGAAGCCTTTCTTTATTGAACCTGGTCATGAAACTGCGCAGTATCTCATTGGGTCCTTGATGCATCTACATGAGTGATGCGACTATTTTTCTGATTCGCTTGCTACTTGTAAAGAAAGCAGAGAACTTATCGGCCAAATCTGAGAAGGAGGCGATAGAGTTAGGTTCCAATGTGGAAAACCAATCTCTAGCTGCGTTTGTGAGGGTCTGAGGGAAGGCCTTGCACATCACTGCATCCGGTGCAACCTGTAAGTTCATAATATCGGTGTACATATTGAGAAGATTGATGGGGTCGGTTGTCCCATCGTACTCCTTTATCCGAGGATACTTGAACTTATCCAGGAGAGGATACGAGAGAATTTCTGGAGTGAACGGCGTATTGGGGGTGTATCTTGCTGCTGCCCAAGTATTTTGTTGCATACCCACTGTCATCCCTTCTTGAATAATTCTAGCAAGTTCAGCGGAGTCCATTGTAAGGACCACGAACCTGAAGCCACTTGTGGAGCACCTGAAGTTCCAATCCCGCCATCATCATGAGCTGTACGTTGAACTCAAGCCCGAGCATCTGCCATAAAACCACCTTCGGGGGTTGGAGTATGTGACGGGTGCAAATGTTTTTTGCTTACAATTAGGTTAATGTAGCAACCTGCTGACAAAGTTTCTCAAAAGCTCTGGTAGTAACAGCAGCTTGAGGAGGTGCCAGCATATCTGATGATTCTTCTTGATGGACATGGCGTTCCTCAGGAGGAGGAGGGTTATCCGGGACGAATGAGGTTACTGGAGGAAAACCTGAATGTGTATTAACCATGGCTTTTGGTGGCGTTTTCTACAGACGGCGCCAATGATGCTACCAACAAATAATACTTGAAAAATCTCAAACTTGATGATCGAACTCCGAACTTTGATGAACACGAGCGGTCTTCCAATACCTGAAACAAAGGCAACGAGGTATGTGCTCGTCGCCCCTCTGATTCTTAAGTCGGATAGGGAATTTAGTGCGTGAGGCTATGAACTGGAAATAGTGAAAAACATACCTGAATGATGAGCCCAGGTTATGTATTTATATGTGTTGATGATAGAGTCCTAGAAGGACTTACCCATGTGTGATCCTTATCCTCGTAGGATAAGGAGTTAATGTTTCATTCTAAGTGTTCAACCATCGTTTGAGTCGAAGAAGGAGTTAATTAGGGTAAGGATTGTGGTCTAAGTAGAATTAGTGCTCTCATAGGTCGTTAAGAAGGACTGGCAAGTTGACATACAGACCTGACCTTGATTTGGTGGTTTTAGGGGTATTAAGATCGAGGTTCATGAGAAGTGTTCGGGGTTCATGGATCGAGTTCGGGATTGACTAGATCTGGGGTCATCAATATCTATTTATAATTTCATTCATTTTATAAACACATTTGAAACATATTTTTGGCCAACCGTTGAACTATTGTCGATAGACCTGGTCATCTACATGGACTTACTTGCCACATTAGTCCTTAAAAAACTTTGAGCCTATTTGATAGAATTTATTTGAAAATAATGAGTCATTGAATAATATTTTTTTGCAAAATGTGTAGTTAAAAAGTAAGAAAACTTTATTGATTTATATATAAAATATTTTATTGTGTGAATTTGTGGTGGAGAATGGTACTCTAACAAACAATTTAAAATTTTAAGGATGGCAAAATAATGCCTTTTTATTTTCACAGTGAATTGACCAGCCCATGAAAAGAAGAAGGTTGTAAACAAAGGTATCAAAAACTAGGATTTGTTTTTAGAGAACATGATGGCCACGATGGATTATGAGTTGTACAATTTTTTTCCTCCCTTCTTGCAAAAGTTATTGGTGGAGAGAGTGGAAGAAGAAAAGGGTGATAAGATCAATTTGAAATAGGTGGTGGTGGTAGGTTTTAAGGCAATGGATGAGGAGGTCGATGAGAATGAGCGATGGAGGTGACAACAAGGTTGATGAAGAAACCAAGGACCTGCTCAGACTTTTCGAATAGTTGATATGAGCATTTTTTAAAGTATCGATTTTAAATGTTTAAAAATGGTTCGATTTTTGTGATTTTTAGTAGCGAACTTTTAAAATAAATATGGAATTTTATTATTCAGCATTTCTAAAAGTTTTTTACAAGAATAAAAATATATATATGCCCCCGAGTGATTTTTCTATTTATAAATTCTTATATAAAATTTTTTACTTGTGAATGAAATTTACTTATAAGTAATTCTTTTATATATAAGCCCATGTTTGAGCTTTTTTTTTTTTTTTTTAAATCATTTTTCTTCAAACACATTTTTAATCTCACATTCTCTTAATAAAAAAAATTTACACATAAATTCAAAATTTCATACATAATCCAACAATCACTATTATAAAAACCATTTCACCAAAAGATGGGCTCAAACATAGCATTAATTAATTTTTAACTAAAAAAAATCAAATATTTACTTACAATTAAAATTTCAAGTCATAAGCAATTTGTACTTATAAGTAAATTTTACAATAATAAGTTGATTTGAACTTTAAGATAATTTTTGAAGCACAAGTAAATTTTTTTTTATATTTTATAGGTGAATTTTGTCCTATTAGTAATCTTACTTTATAAAGTAATTTTGTTACACAAACGTTAATTTTATCTTATAAGTAGCTTTTTACTTATAAGTAAATTTTTAGTTATAACGTAAAATTTTTAGTTGTTAAACAATTATTTTACATTAATAAGTAAATTTTACAATAATAAGTTGATTTGAACTTTAAGATAATTTTTCAAGCACAAGTAAATTTTTTTTTATATTTTATAGGTGAATTTTGTCCTATTAGTAATCTTACTTTATAAAGTAATTTTGTTACACAAACGTTAATTTTATCTTATAAGTAGCTTTTTACTTATAAGTAAATTTTTAGTTATAACGTAAAATTTTTAGTTGTTAAACAGTTATTTTACATTATATGAAAAAGACAAAACCCACCGATTTGGTAGGCTGAGAAAGACAATTAAAATTATATCATACCAATTTTGGGTGATTTTTAAACTACCCAAAATCAGTGTCCAAAAAAACTAAAAAGCATAGATTTTCTCAATGTCTTATAGACAGTGCCACTCAAAATGGTCAAAATCGGTTTAAAAAGGAGGAAGGGGGGAGGGGTCCTTAGTCTTAAGTCAAGTTCAGTTTATTTTTTCGATTCTTTTCTCATATCACTTATCCCATAACCTTTCCATCCAGAGAACGTAAGTACAAAGCCCAATTCTTTCCTTTTCCGCTTATTCACATCTTATTCACCTCCTCACTCGAATAGTAAGCATTCCTTCTTCTCTTTCCTAGTATGAAAGAAATAGCTAGGACCAATCCCAAGCTAGAGAGAGGTGGCAATTAACAGTCACGAATTTTCAGTACTCAACGATTTGCCTTTCATTGAGTGAACATAAAAGGCTGTACAACATAATATCATCATATTTATCTGCATTATTAACCGCTCGAATAGAAGAGCGAGTACTAGATTACCAATATTGTAGATTCATTTATCTCATCAATTCACATGTATGTACTGTGAGTAGCTTGTTAGTTTTAATGGACATGTTAACTAATTTAGTACGTAGATTGACGAAATCCAAACGAGTAATTTAATGCAATTAAAATTGGAGTTAAGTGACGCAGTTTCCTTAAATTGAACTTCAATAATCTAATTGCAGTTGGAGCGATATTGGATGACCGCCAATTAACCTGCAATAATTTATGTTATCACCTTGAATAGTTGGGTTCAAGTCTCTGAGCAAACTCGAGTCTTTTTTTTTTTTTTTTCTTTTGGAGGAAGTTACGTTAGAAACTTGAACACTTTCTTTAAGCAGTACTGTCACTAAGATTTTCAATTTCATTTTCTTCTTTTTTTGTTCGTTTTGTTTGCGAAGATAATTATACAAAGGTAGGTTTTTTCGAACGTTTTCCAGGAACAGAAGGAACCGTTGTAATAACCACAATGTGCATTTCATTCTCTTCGATTTTCTTTCATTGCTTTTTACGAAGTCAAACAAGTTTCATTTAGAAGTTCTTATAAGTAGAGAAATCATGATTCAAACATGTTCATAAGCAGTTTTTAGTTTTTTCAAAAACTCTGTCAAATGTACCCTTTATAATCAGGCATAAAAAAAGATAGCGACACTTATCACGAACCTTTTATTATGATGCAAAATCGTGCTAATCGTGTAAATCATGTGAGCGTTTGTTTAACCACCATGAGACCTTCCCACAGCAAATTTTTGTAAAGAAAAACTAGGTAGAATCAATGATGTTTATCGCCAGTTTAAGTGATGGTGGGGTCCATCGTTCGGTGTCCAATTAGTTGTAATGCATCTTCTTCATTCGACAATGAATCGATATGTCCAACTATCACCTAAACTTGTGATAAACACTAATTTTCAACTTGAGTCACAAGGATAATATGACTATTTAAAGGAGATTTGGATTTCAAATTCAATTTTTAATTCATGATTGACTGGGCGACTACAATTAAAAGTTGAGGACCAATTTGCAATTATAAAAAAACCAATTTATATTTTTAAATTTGCATCGATTATTTTGAAAAGTTGACCGACCGTGGTGGCCGGGTCCCACAATCTTCTACGGTTCTACCTTTCATATAAAGAGTTGCCATTTCCGTATTCCTACTCAGCCTCGTACAGCTCAATCACTGTCCGCCCCTCATTTAAATATAAAAATATTCCATAAGAATTCCACATTTCCCGCTTCCTCTCCAAAAACGAAAAAGACAAAAACCGAAAGCCAAAACCTTTCCTTTGCCTCATAGCGGCATAAAAATTGGGGGCCAAATGTCGGAATCAGAACCTCCCCGCCGCAAACCAACTCCGCCATTGCACAAACAAAATTCATGGTCCCCACATACTGTACGAGAAGAGGCGTGGACCAATCGGAAGAAAAATTATCGGACGAAGCGGGGTAAATTCAGCGTCACAGACGATGATTTGGAAGAGCTCCAGGCGTGCTTTGAGTTGGGGTTTGACTTCGATTCGCCTGATTTGGATCCAAAACTGTCGTCTGCTTTTCCGGCGTTAGGGTTTTACCATGCTGTGAATCAGCAGTACAGTAATAGATTGTCTCGGTCTTCTTCTTCTTCTTTTTCTAATTGTGATTCTGTGTCCTCGGTCGAAAGCCCTAGCTCCATTTTTGATCCAGGTAATTTCCGCTTAATCACAGTTGTTAAATATTCTTTTATTACTAATAATTGTAATTCCGATTCCTCTTTTTCTATTTTATGTTATTTACATTAAATTTTAATAGATGATGATCCGGCTGTAGTGAAGACAAGATTGAAACACTGGGCACAAATTGTAGCTTGTTCGGTTCGCCAATCTTCACCAAACTAAGTGGGATTCATGATTCATCTCGTGTGGGAGGAAAGAAGAAAAAAATTGACATCTTCAACCAATTTGTGTATATCTATATCCTAGAATTGAATATTTCGGGATTTGTTTTGTAATTATACTTTTGGAATATTTTAACTTTTTTACCCCGATGATTTTCGGCGGATGAAGAAGATTTTGCCCCGATTGCTAGGGTTATGGTAATTAAAAATTTGTTTTTTCCCCCAAATTTTCTTTTGAAATTTAGTCTCCATTTGTCATTCTTTAACATCCTATTTGAGTCCCATTTTTTAAAATAAATAAATTCTTAAATAGTGATTTGAAATCATCAACTACACATTTTTTAATAAAATAATATTACGTACAAATTCAAAAATTTTTCTTATTTTTTAACTACATATTTTCTACCAATACGCTACTTAAAAATGCATTCTTATAAAAATAATGTGGCTCAAATACGGGCTAAGTGTTTGTTTGAGTCACATTATTTTGAAAAAATCTATTTGAAAATAGTAGATTAATGGAGAATGTGTGGTTGAAAAATGCAGAAAAGTTTTGGATTTGCTTGTAATATTATTTTATTGATGTATGTGTGGTTGAAATGATGTTAAATCACTCTTTAAAAATATATTTTTTGAAAGAATGCGGCTCAAACGAGGCCTAAATTGTTTGCTAAGTAACATTCTCCATCGCACATTCACACAATAAAATATTTTTTCACACAAAATAATAAAATTTCTTTAAATTTTAATCACACGTTCTCCAAAAAAATATTATTTAAAACTCTATAATTTTCATCATAATAGGATAAAAACAAGCTCTTAGTTGAAAACTTATATTAATCAGAAGCGAAGGCTTTTTAGATCCTTACAATCAAGAAATTTACAGTAGGTGTACAGTCTAAAAATTTTGAAAAAATAATGTAGGCACTAAATATAGTATTTTTGAAAAATACGATAATCTGATTAAATTCAAATCCCATTGAGCAATGCTATAGGTACAATTATTTTTTATTTTATAGAACTCATATAAATCAACACTTGGCAAATAATCATCGAAAGATGATAAAAATACAAAAGGAAAGCAGCCATGCAGGTGCTGTAGACGTAGCGCCTGTACAAATTTCATTTTCCCCCCTATACTTGCAGAATTATTCAATGAGTTATTCCCTAAGTACAAGGTTTTTCTCATAGGCACCATACTGGTGCTGCGTTGGCAGAATTTGTATAGTGCTTTTCTTGTGACTTTTGACAAAAACCAATGTTAATGCTTCAAGTGAATTTTGTAACAATTTTGTGAAATTTTTTCTTTACGTGTAGCAGAACTCTTATTCAATCCCATTACCTCGTCTTGAGTTTCACGTTTAGACTTTGATTGGGACGGGGCCTTCAATTGCACAAGTCCTCTTGGTCTTGACATTTGGGTGCACCTTTAGTCCTTGTACGGTCATCATACATGTGAATTTTGAGAGTTGACATGTAAAAGAATATACATGTCTTGCACTAGGGTTTTCACATATGACACCAAATGTTGGCTTTACAATTTGTCAATGTTTTTTGATGTACAAGAATCTCCATCTGAATCGTTACGTCATCTTAAAAGTGTATTTTCTAGATGTCAAACTCTATATCCGTAATACGTGGAAATACTCACACATCTTAAATTTTGACATTTTTAACTTCTTCATATTAAACTCCTATTCGGTAGAAATTAAAATCAAAAATTTTTTGATCAAATTTGATTAATGTGTGATTGAAAGTTATATGATTAAAATTAATTATCGATTTTGATTTAAATTAAAATCATATCAAACAGGAGCTAAAAGAGAAAAACGTAAAAAGCTAATTTCTATAAATTTAGTGGCAATTTAGAATAATTCAAAGTGTAAATTTACAGCATCCCTTTTACCTGGCAGATACCACTTGAATCTCTCTCTCACACACGCACATGGAATAGATGGCACGTGCGAGCAACTCTCCAATTAAACTGCTCCTTGAAAATATCTGGCTGACATTGGCAGAAGATATTATCGGGCAATCTGACGTGGCATTGGAACGTTTCTGACACGTGTAAAAGCGTCTCTATGTGGAGCCTTCTTGGACACTGAAAAATACTCTCTCACCGCCTTCTCTCTCTTGAATAGGGTTTTTTATTCCCTTTTTCGATTTCTTCGGCTGTTATTACATTTTTAGGAAATTAAATTACATTTTATTTGTGGTGCGAATGGAAGAGAATTACAGGCCGGAGAATCAGCCGGCTCCGGGGGTTTCGGAAGTGACAGTGTCTTGCGTCAATGAGTTGACTAGGTCGAACTCGGACTTACCCTCTTTGATTGCTGAGAATTACGAAGATGTTATTCGTGGCTCGGCAAATGCAACGCCGGTATTTTTGCAATTTCTTCTCAGTTTTAGTGAATATGCAGGATCCACTTGTCAATTTTCATTATTTTTAAAATTTCCTTGGGTATGTCTCTATCTCTCCCTTAATTTGATAGCTTGATGCAGTAAATGATGTCAATTAAATTGGTCGGATCTTGGGTAGTATGATTTGATTTTTAATTATATGCTTTCCGGAATCTTTTAAGTTATATTTTATATTGAAGTTTTGATGTTTTCTTTTGATCCTGTGTCTACATGTGGCTTCATAGCTGGATAGAGGACTGGACGAGGAGAACAAAGGGGATTCTTGTAGCGGTGAAGGAAGGAAGAACGACTTTCTAATGGTAAATTGTTGTGTCGTGGTTTTCATTTTGTTCGTTGTATTTGGGTTGTGTTTGTTATTTGATAAAAATGGCTCATTGATTAAGAAAAATCTTGAATGACTATAACGTGAGTTACTGCATGAGAGAAACCTGAGTGCTGTAATACTCTTTTTGTCGCCTATTTCAATGGAGCCTCATTTATCAATCATTTGTCTCGGGATTGCTTATGTTTCCTTTTGATCTCTTCAAAAATTTATATCTGCCAGTTATGTATGTTGTATTGATGCGTGTGTTGCATGGAGGTTTTCATTTTGTTGGTTGTATTTGGGTTGTGTTTGTTATTTGATAAAAATGGCTCATTGATTAAGAAAAATCTTGAATGACTATAACGTGAGTTACTGCATGAGAGAAACCTGAGTGCTGTAATACTCTTTTTGTCGCCTATTTCAATGGAGCCTCATTTATCAATCATTTGTCTCGGGATTGCTTATGTTTCCTTTTGATCTCTTCAAAAATTTATATCTGCCAGTTATGTATGTTGTATTGATGCGTGTGTTGCATGGACTTTAGTTATGAGACAAAAACAAGGATTGGAAAGTCAACCGACTAAGATATTCCATTAAAATTTGTTGGGGTTTAAGTTAACTCACAGCCATTAGTGGAAGTTTTTGTATGAGTGCCAGGGGTCATTAGATGCGTTTTTCTTTAATATGTAGCTTACGGAGTGGAGAGGAAAAGCTTCTATGAGTGTTGATTCGTTGCAGTGCTTTCTTTTATATGGCACGTGTAACAAAGCAGTTCGGTAATTGAATAGAAGGGTTATGTCATGCATTATATCATTGTCATATGGCTGTATTTGTGTTTTGTTGTCTAGAATTTCATAACATAATGGAAATAAATAATGTGCAATTTGTTATTTTTCACTTAGCATCCATGAGCAACAAAAGGATCTGGTCACTTGTTGATGGAGATGATGTATATGTTTCTTGATTTGTTTGTACATAGGGATTAAATTCTTTACTTTATATGCGTGTGTTTGCATGCATTTACTTCACTTTAATTAATCACTGGAATGGGGAAGCTTTGTAATTCAATCACTAATAGGTGCATATTTCTAAAATTTGTTTGGACTTTGTAAAAGTGGGTTAGAGATAGCAGAAGCTTCCACACGAGACATAGAAACCATTAGCCCTGCTTCTTTGAATGAGAACTGGATATCACATTTGGCAGATGATATAATTGTTCCCACAAGCTGTTAAACATTTTTTAAATTACGAGAGATTAATTTGCATTTTTTTATAGGAACATCAAATATTTGGTAGACTGTTATAATTCGTTTACTTTTTGTGCTTTGATGCATAACACAGTATTCATGTTACGAAAGTCAATCATAAAATTGTTATCATTATTGTAAACCAATCATCTGTTATTCCTGTTCTTCAGTCTTTCTAAGCTGTGCGAATAACTATTACTTCTGTCATTGAACAAAACCAGTCATAATCAATCATCTTTATCTGTAATAATTTTGTTAATATATGCTTTCTCATTTTTTAAGAGAGCATTAGCAATTCATCTGTTTATGCAAATGTTAGCATTCATTTAAAGTATGCTTCTTTGAGTCTTCAATGGGGCCTGATTCCCTTTATTTCTTTATTTTCTAGCCACTGTATTCATTGAAGTGCATATTCTGTTGACTAGCACAAAGGGATTACAAACATGGTTTGTCTGTAACGAAAGACAAAAGTAGATAGAAAAGAACAGCCGAAATATAGACAAAGTTGAGGAAATCTACCTCCCAAATATTATTTGGTGTTTGATAAACAAATAAACCTCCCAAGACAAACTACGAGTTTGCGCAGAATTATTCTTTCATTAATTCATTGCTTTATTGACTTTAAACAGAAGATAATACACACCATTATCATAAAACTAAGGAGCACATTTTGCTCCATTCAAGATACAACCTATTTTCTCTGTTCTTTTACAAGATTTCCTATAGAAGTGCAAAGTGTTCTCTAAATATTCACCCTTTTGCAGGATGATTGCAAAGCATGGACCAATGAGAAGCACAACTTATATCTTAATCATTTGGAAGTGTCATTTGTTAAACAGTTGAATCAGTCAATGGGTTTTCTTGCTCAGTGCTCAAAGCAGAACAAGAGTGAGAACAGTGTATCTCAAAACCGGGCTTCCAGTGTCCATAATGCCTCTAAGCAGGTTGAGGACCTAAAACATCTATATTCCATTTTGAATATTTATTCTGTTGCATTCTCTTCCTGATTGCATAGCTACGTGCAATGCCTTCTAAACAAGAAATACGTGCGGTCATTTATTTTCTTAGCTTTCCATTTCATGGTAGTGCTGCTGGCAAAAGATCAATTATGAGAGCGGACAACCTCTTTTGCATGCTTCAACCGATTCTCATGGCACTCTTAAGAGTCCACGGATATATGGTTCCAGAAAAATGAGCAAACAACATCCCTTCCCATCAGCTGATATAAAAGAATCTCCAAAGCTTCAAATTATGGATGAACACTTAATCAGGAAACGAGTCTCATATCAAGGATTAGCGACATGTTCACAACAACTTCTTTCCGGTGACCTCTACCGCAATGATCCGTTTGAATTCCTGACAGGTGAATAAAACTCATACTGGGCGATTGATTATTTTCTCTGTGTAATTCTCCTTTTTAAGGAGGTGGTATTTTATGTCATGTTTCAAATTTTGGTTATGATTAAATGCTTATCTGAGTTTTTGTTATAATTACATTTTTTCAATTATTATATGGAAATATTAACTAATCTAAACAATAATGTGGATGGAGGGAGAACAGGTTAAATTCATTTGTGTAAGATATTAGTAGGCTTCTGTATATTTTGCTTGTTATATAGCCTGCAAAAACAATTTTTTCACATCTTCTCCTTTAGCTTTCATACGTATGCTATAAAGACACACAGTTCTTTCAGGACATGTGTGCAGGTATACTATTCTTTCATATTATATATTCGTGCATGAATAATCATTCATGAAAAACTATTGTAGATATTATTGTAAAGTTCAAAATCCATATTGGTACTTGTTGATCTTGACGATGTGGGAATATGCTTTTAGAAATAACTTCTTTCTTATCAGAATGATTTTAATTTGTCTTGACCAATCTTAAAGGTCGATAAATAAATTATTTATGCTTATCTTTTCCTTGAATTTCAATTTCATTAAATTTCAAATTAGATTTTCTTTAAAATCAGGAACCGATTAGTCTTGATCTAATGTTACTCCATGCACAAGCATAACCAATTCAAATGTTGCTGTCACCTAGTTACCTTGGTTGATATTGTTCGTACATGTTACTCCTCACTTGAACCACGTTGTTTAACTTCTGGATTTTATCGCTCCAGTGAAGACTAATTAAATTAAGCCTTTCTGTCTTCAAAGTTGGTTTTTCCTTCGCTGAAATAGAACTCACATCACATGTTGGCAAAAAATATCCAAAAATTATTTTTCCCCACTCTCGTGCCTTCTTTATTTCAGTAGTTTTTCAGTTATACATTAGTGCTAAAGGAAAACTTGATTCTTGATTGTTTAGCATAAGCTCGATTTCCCGGTCCATCCTTTGGTGCAGATTTTGTTCATTGTTTGGATTCGTTATTTTTTCCAATCTGTGCATTTGGTCTGATCTGTATACTGCAACCACACATTGCTTGCTGTCAAGACTTCGAAGCCTCCTACTATTTCCTGAATTTTCTGTTCTTGATTTGATCAACTATTTCATGCACACAAGTTCAATCCAGCCGGGGGGGCGGGGGGGAGGGAGGAGGGGGTTTGTACACCATTTCACAGTTTAGATGAGTAGGTTATGGAAAAGCTCATGATTTAGGTCTTCGCTCACATATTCAATTCTTCTGTCATTCGACCTCTTATTCACAACTGGAAGCAACATTTTCGAAGTCAAGATAAAAGAAGTATAGATGAAGAAAGATTGTAAGAAATCAACAATCCCAACCTAAAAAAGGGAGAGAAAGAAATCACTATCTCCTAGAAATAAAAATAAAAATAAAAACTTGAAAGCTGAATACTGATGGAAGATATAGGAGATCTTGACCGGGGTGAATGTCTGATGTGCAATTATGAGTCCCCTTTTAGCATGGATATCCTTGCTAGCATGGAGCACCTTTTTTGTTCAGAGCTGTAACTGAGGACTCACACCACTTTGTCCTGGATGATAACATCTCCTTTTTGACATCAAATTGTAATGCTAATGTTGTCCTTGCTTATGGCACATCTTGTGTATGTTTGATGTCACCATGATTTGCAGCACTGAGGCTAGTTTATCTACTCTGTTTTTTGCTTAATGTGTTGCCAATAAATATTTCTTTCCTCCCTCTTATCTGACAATTCAACTACCATTTGTGCATGGCAAGTACCGTCTACCTATATGATACCTTCAATCTTGGTTACTTAGGCCACGTTTGTTTTCCATTAATGTAAAAATGAGAATGAAAAATATAGTCGTTATGGGTCCCATACAAGAGATAGAAATTCAAATATGGTGGCTTGATATGATGGATAACGGTCATATTTTTCATTTTAATAGCCAAATAATGGGAAACAAACAGGGGCTTAATATAAAATCGCAAGATTGGGTTTGTGAAATCAGTTTAGGCAATGATAAAAGCAGTCTAGATTGAGCTTGCCATCTGTACTCCATTGGCATAAGGGTGTCATGATTCTAGGAAGCTTTATTAGGAATGCATTTTATGCTACCCAATATTCAGTCTGAGAATCATCCAGCTTTGTGCAAGTGCCAGAGTTGGTGCATGTATATTAGGGGAGACCAGAAATTTTGTTCCCTTTTTTTTTCCTTAATATATATAATTCCATCTGCATCTAGATGAGATTTTTAGGCCGCAACCTAGTTTTCAATGTGGTGTTAGGCATTATCCCCTACCTTGTTATTGATTTAGAAAAATTGATACATATGAGAGGGGGACATACCAACCTTACCCCCATAAAGGGAAAAGAAATGGAATTTTGACATGCCTGAAGGTTTGTTTTTCAAATAGAAAATATTGATTTACATGCTTCATATTGTTCTGATTCTGTAATTTTTTATTTTGTAAATGGGCTGATGATTTCCAATTGCTTTATTCAGTGATATTTGCTTAGACTTTTTGACTATTTTGTCAATTGTGGCCATGAAACGCTAATGGGCCAGTGTAGTATTTAGGCATTTTGCGCTTTTTATTCAGGGTATGGGATAATTAGGCCCATTAATTGGAAAATTGACTATTTCCCTTTCACTTTTAAAACTTGCATTAACCGTATAATAAACGTTCTCAGGATAATTAGGCCCATTAATTGGAAAATTGACTATTTCCCTCACTTTTAAAACTTGCATTAACCGTATAATATACATTCTCAAAAGGAAAATGAATGCAATTCGACCCCAACCAAATCCTAAATCAATGATTCTCTCTGTCAATTTTGGGTAATGTCTGGTGATTTTCATGATTTTGTTCGATAATAGGCGACTCTTTTTAACGTTTTCGATTAGCCATCGTCAAAGCTTACCTTTCTTTTTCCATTCAATTTAAGGTGAGGACCAGAGTTTTGTTAGTTTTTCTAGTATGTTCTATTACGCTTTTGTAATTTGATCTTTTTGAAGACGATAATTAGAAATGATGTTGTGTTGGGGCTTCTATTGAAATTATGAGGCATGTATACAAGAGAGTTTGGCAGCGGCACCAATGACAGAACTGGCAAAGTGGGTAGGAAGAAGGGTAGTGAATGGTGGCAAAATAAGGAAAAAGGGTAGTGAACGGCGGTGGAATAATTTGAAGCAATGCTCGATGCATTGAGGTCTAAAGTTGGGAATTTGCTTGTTGAAGCAGATTCATTGAGGAAGAGAATAGTTCAAGAAGTGGTGGAAATACTAAGTCCTACAACAAATGTGAGGTTCATGACCGTTGCAAATCAGTTGCACCTTAGGATTCGAGGACTAAGACGGTAGAGAGAGGCAAAATGACTTCAGCAAGGAGAGACGGATGGGTGGTAGACAACTTCCATTGAGCTAGCTGATTTAATAGTTATTGTCTTGTATATTGTAAAAGAATCCGATATTCACACTTGGAGTTAGTAATTTCATATCAACTTTGTTGGTGTTTATAATTGAAGACAGTCTCCATCTCTTGAATACAGCCATTTTTTACAGTTTTGTGCTTGGCTTGTAGCGTGTTCATGTTAAAATCCTAGCTGTTGAACACCATGCTATTTTGGGGTCAGACAAATGTTGATGGCAAATGTTGAAGTGGTCATAGAAAAATGATTACAAATATCTACTAACCTTAAACCTTTACCAACAATTGGATTTTCAATATTTGCATTTTTTATCGTTCCAAACGTTGTTCGTTCTAATAATAACACTGTTCTTGGTACCATTAAGAATAGTTGAATGAGACATTACGATATCACTTTTTCAACGTGTTATGATATTTGAATTTTGTGAATATAACTTGTTAGAGATTCTTCACATGGTAGAAATTAGTAAAATATAGTTTGTCGGTGAACTGGCTTAAATATTTTTGGCGGTGAAGGGAGAAAGGGGAGGGACGGTGGTAATGTCGCTTTTTTTGTCACTTTATTGAACTAATTCCAATGTTTTAATTGGTGTTTTGTCACTTTTTTAGTCTTTGTTACTTTTTTGAATTTTTATTACTTTTTTTTAGTGTTTGTTACTTTTTAAAAATTCTTGTCACTTTTCTATTGTTTATCACAATTTTTTTCATAATTTTCTTGAAATTTCTATCATTTTTTTTGAGTGAGAAACATGACTTTTTAGTGACATTGTGTCACTTTTTAATAAAAAAATAAATTAAAAAATGACATTTAAATTTTAAAAGTGACATTATGTCACTTTTTTAACATTAAAAAAATGACATCGTATCACCTTTTAATAAATAGAAGTGACTTAAATTTACAAAGTATTTTTTACTTTCAAAATACATTTCATATGATTTTTCAAAAGATCCCTAATTTTAATGAAAGTGAAATTGTATGTAATTTTTTTAATGAAAAAGTGATACTAAACTTTTAAAAGTGATATCGTGTCACTTTTTTTTTAAAAAAAAGTGAAAATTATGTCACTTTTTAATTTTACACAATATTTTTTACTTCCAAAAAACTTTTCATATGATTTATCAAAACTCCTTTAACTTTAAGAGTATTTTTGTAAGTTCTCCTAGACTTTTTGCCTCATTTTTGGACCATTACTAATTTATTTTAACCTTATTTTTCGTTTTTTTTTCCCCAATGATTTAATTATGCTAAATATGGTTGATTTATAGACTACGAGTACTGTTTAGGAAATACAGAAAAAATTGTTTCAATGTGGGTATTTTCTATTGCAAACATGAAATTTGTATGAAAAAAAAATGTTTTAAGCAATTTAAATTGCTTAAAATTTATTTGCATGGAAATTATTAATATGTATGATTGGTTTAATTTTTAATTTATAAAATATTATAATTGCCCATTTTTATTGGTGGGTAGATGAGAGAAAGAGAGAGTGAATTAATTGAAAAATAAAAAGACTACAATTACCTAAAAAAATATTTTTTTTTTGTTTTTTAGAAAAATATTGTCACATGACCAATTTCTGAAAAGTATCTTCCATGAAAAAAATATCAATCAAACATTTCAAAAGTAAGAATTTGAGTTAAAAAAAATAACATTTTTCATAAAAAATAAAGTAATCAAACACCCTTTAAATAAATTTTTTTTTTCTTATAATTCGAGCGGCCAAGATACTAAAGATCTAGCTTTCGTCTGGGTCGACCAGAGCTCGGCTAGATACTCTGTACAGTACATTTAACCCTACAACAATTGTTTTCTCATCATTTCTTTGTATGAATAAAGCTGCATGGGCCCTGGCCATCAAGCAGCTCTCTTGTCTGAATAGTGACCCCAAATATATTTATTACAGCCATCATCCAATCAATTCCAATACAAAGCCATGAATATTTCGAGATTCCACCCCCCCCCCCACTCCAA